TTGGGGTTAGGGGGGAGCGGCTGGGGCTGGGCCGTAGGGCGCGTGGCCCGCGGCGCTGCCTCAGCGGGGTGTGCCTCTTTCCCTTGCAGCTGGCGCACCGGTACTGGGCCCCGCACGTGCAAAAGAGGCTGTCCTTCGATGCCAAGGTGAGCACTGCGCACAGCACCAGGGCAGCACTGCATCGCCCCAGCAGTACGGTTGTAACCAGCTGTGTCAGGAGCGCCAGGGAGCCGGCCTGGCGCCTTGCCCCATGCTTGGTTCTATTTCTGTCTCTTCTTTCCCCCCCACTTAAGAATAAAGGCGTGTGGCCAATTGTGGGAGCCCCATGTCGCCAGGTGTCAGAGTGCAAAGCTAACTGCAGCTTTTGGTGTTTGTAGAAACAAGTGTAAAGCACATGTGTTGGAGGGAGCCCACAGGCTGGACCCACTCCATGGAGCTCTAGGGTCTGATCCCAGCCCTGGCACAGCATGTGGCACCTGCACCAGGCTGGCCCTGCTGTGGTCTCACTCCAGGGCTGGATCGGGCTGCAGAACCCCCATGTAGTCCAGAGCCAGCATGGAGGGCTGGTCCAGTGTGGGCCCCATGTGTGCGCCGTGCCACCCTTGTGTGCCTTGTGTCCATGGACCAGGATGTGCCGTACGTGTTGTACGGGGCGGGACCTGATGCACACGTTGCATGCAGCCCAGGGAGCTGGTCTGTGTGCACACTAAATGTGGCACCCTGCCAGACTGACCCTGCACAGTGGTTCTAGGGCCTGTCAGGATCAGTATTTTCCTGCTTTGGAGCCAGTTTGCAGGGCTAGTCCAGTGCAGGCATCTCATACCAGGTCTGCACATGTGCCTCAGACTGGTGCCAGAGCACACTACACACAGTGCACAGGGTTGGTCCAGGACACGTGCTATATCAGCTGCTCTTGCAAAACCAATGCTGTGTGCTGGCTCTGGCACTTACCTCACTTATGGCTGGTCTGTGTGTCTGGTCTGGATGTCTGACACTCCTGTAGTGGAGCATCCAAACCCTTCCTTTTCTTTCTGTCCCCCCACCGCCAAAAAACCCCAGCAAAACAACAAAAAGCCTTATATTTTGGACTAGTTTGGAATACAAAGGACTTGTCGACAGAAAATAGGACTCCATCTGAACTGTAAATCAATTGGAACTGATATTTATGTAGCACTCTCTGTCTGCTGTAATGGTAGAGAAGAAGAGCCTGTCACGTTTTAGGTCTTGGGATGTGTCAGAGCACCGTTTCAGGTAGTATAGACTGTGAGGGTTTAGCTATACAACCTGTACAAATGAATGAACATTCGAAATGTAGAAGTCTGCACAGAGAAGTTCTGTCATGTTACCTGAAGGTACTGTTAAAAGAGACTTAGGGTTCACAGAGCCAGTTATATGTACATTTTTCTTCTAAATTGAAGCCTTTTAAGGTGCAGAGGTGTCTTACCTGCATTGGGGTCCAGGCTTCCTTCTCCTTCCACTTTAAACCTGGGCACAGAACCGTGTTCAAATTTGCAGATGACACTAAGATGTGGGGAGAAGTGGGCATGCTAGAAGGGAGGAATAGGTTGCAATCAGACCTAAACAGGTTACAAGGGTGGGCGGATGAGAACAGGATGGGTTTCAACACTGACAAGTGCAAGGTGATGCACCTGGGGAGGAAGAACCAGCAGCATACCTGCAGGCTGGGGAACTCCCTTCTTGTCCGTGCAGAGGCAGAAAAGGATCTTGGAGTCATTATTGATGCCAAAATGAACATGGGCCGACAGCGTGGAGATGCGGTCAGGAAGGCCAACTGTACCTTGTCTTGCATCCACAGATGCATCTCAAGCAGGTCCAAGGAGGTGATCCTCCCCCTCTGTGCAACACTGGTCAGGCTGCAGTTGGACTACTGCATCCAGTTCTGGGCGCCGCACTTCAGGGGGGATGTGGACAACATGGAGAGGGT